GGGTGTGGGGTGTAGGGTGTGGATGGCTGTGGGTGTGGGTGTGGGTGTGGGGTGTAGGGTGTGGGGTGTAGGGTGTGGATGGCTGTGGGTGTGGGTGTGGGGTGTAGGGTGTGGATGGCTGTGGGTGTGGATGGCTGTGGGTGTGGATGTGGGGTGGGTGTGGGTGTGGGTGTGGGTGGTGTGGGTGGGTGTGAGGGTGGGCGTGGATGTGGGCGGGTGTGGGTGTGGGTGTGAATCTGTTTTTACTGCGTCCACACCCACCCACACACCTACACGCATACCCCACACCCACACCCACTGCACACTCACACCCACACCCGATATGAAAGGGGGAAAAGATAAGGGGCGAGAAAAAAAACTTGTGACCGCCGGGGAGGAAGATTCAACGTGAACTGAAGAGAAAAACAACAAGAAGGATAATCACTGGAAAAATATAGAGAAAAATATATACTGACCACTTAGAAAATGGAGGAAAATCCAATAGAACATAATTTGGAAGTTAGCGATAATAGAGTGACCTCTATTGACGCTAACAAGATGTTCCGTTTATTTTGGACAGGGGAAAATATTTGAAATACTAATATTCAATATGTATCACTATTTATCATTACAAAAGGTATTGATCAATTGTATTGATATTAATGTTATTTAATGACTTGGAATTTAGCATGATTGATCATTTTTGACAAGAAAAACATTACCGACGTTAGAAGTCAGTGAAAAGAAAAATTAGAAATTTAAGAAAATTGACAATTTGATAGGAATCGTACTCTGCATCAAAATAAATTTCTATCTACTAAAATATTATTGTAACATGAGTTTAACATCTTGATCAAAGGAATGATTTGAGATTCTTCAACATCGCATTTTTCAACCTTATTTTTCAATGCAATCCTACTGTCGGACGTGAGTAGATGCAATTTACTGCGAATGTGGATATATTTCGAGGTTTTCTTAAACTCTCGCCTATAATTGCTTCCATTATAATAGATTACAGTCGAGCTCGATCCATCATATCATCTATAATTAATACAAAAGAAGCCGTTCACAATGGATTCATCAATTCCTGGAATCATTTAGTGTTTCCGTTTGCTGAATACGATAAAATTCCTTTGAATATCACAGCATTATTTTAATAAATGCTCACTCTATAGTGAGAACATGATCGATCACTCTATCCAAATCATATGTTAATGAATCAATCAGTTTTGTGTTAGTCTCATACACTTTGAGCGCCAAGCCGATAGCTTTTGTATAGAATTCAAGAGCTCTATCATATATTGTTTGATTGTAAAAGACGGTTCCTATTTCTCTGAAGATTCGGACCAAAAGTGGATATTCATCACTAACACAACGAATAATTGTTTCACTCTTGTAAAAAAATAGAAGGGCTTGTTCATATTTCTTTTGTGCATTGTATATTATTCCAAAAGTTTCATATGATAACCCAACATCGACACTGTCAGATGGTAATTCTTTTAGAAGTAAATTAGATGACTTCTGACAAAGATATTCGGCTTCTTCGAATGAACCTTGTGCACATTTGACAAGAGCCAGAATATTATAAGTAAAAGCAAATTTGTAATGATTATCATCTTGAATTTTATACATAGATCTTAAAAGAGTTATACTTTGTTGAAGATAATCTTCTGCTCGATCTAATTGATTTACTCGATAGTAGGAGTAACCTAGATTTGTATAGACGGCAGCTAATCCTGGAAATGTGTTGGGCGGACATTGGTTCAAGATAGCTACAGCAGATTCAGCGGCTTTTATTGATTCATCATAATAGAGTTTTGCTGCGTATATACAAGCTAAATTATGATAAGTTGTTGCAATAGATGGATGATCGGATGGTTTACAGTTCAGTTTTACTTGCAGCGATAATTTAAAATAGTGAAGAGCTTGGTCATATTTGGCTTGTTCACCGTAGACAGATGCTATGTTGTTATAAATTGTAGCAAGTGTCTCATTGTCTCTGGAGGACATCATCTAGAGACAGCTACATTCTATTAATCAGTGAAACCCGGTGACGGGAAGCGCGCAGCATCCTTATCCGGACTGGCTGAGCGATCGAGTGCCGAATCTCGGCAACCTATTGCAACTAGAAGTCGTCGTGCAGTTGCCCCAGCAGTAATTGTCGATACTTCTAGCCAAGATCAAGGTCCTAGTGCTGGCATTCATGTGGCTCCTACACCCACTCGTCGGTTCGAAAATAGCACTCCGCATGGAGGAAAAGGACCGAGTGGTGACAAACCCGCTGGATCGGGGAAGGCATCAGTTTGGTCAGAAAAGGAAATTGAAAAGCTAAAGCGATTAGTTCCAAGCAATGTCACACCCTCAGGTACGATATCTTGGAATGACGTCGAAAAAGCTTGGATAGATCTGAATCTGCCCAAAAGGACTAAGGCAGGCCTTAGCAGCAAGTGGCGGGATATCAAGACCAAATCCGCCAGTGTGAGTGTTAGTGATTCGTCTTTGACACAAAAGAAGACGAAATTGCATTTGAAAGTCGTTACTATTCCATCTGACACTACTGTAGATGTTAACCACAACGCCGGTAGTAATAATAACGATGTAAACCCTACAGTCGTAAAACCAGATCAGTGCGTACCGGCTGATTTGGCTGATGATGTTGTTAACTCAACCTTCAGGAAAGAATATAAAAAGGCACAAAAGATAGGATGTCGGATGGCGTTGAGAAAAACGCCACTAAGAGTCTCCGGCAAGCATATTAAGCCTATCATCTGCGAAGTTAATCGACTGATAAAAAGTGAGTTAGATTTGGTAGTAGGTGGAATATCTTGGAATCAGTTGTCAAATCTAGTTTACGCTGGTGCGATGACAGTTTCTAAGATAGGAAACCGAAAATGTCTTGAAAAACAACAACGATCAAGAGAATGGTTTAAGATCACATATAGTGAATGTGAGAATTTGCGCCGCGTCATCGGTAAAGCTACTAGTGAGTTAAATAGACGGGTGAGAAGTGCAGAAGTAGCCCTTACAAGTAAGCAGCTTTCTATTATCAAGATGCTTAAAAAGAAATATAAGGTGGAGTCACGGGCTGAAATAACATCTCTTGTAGAAAGATTGAAGTGCAGACTTCAACTTCTACAATCGCGAATAGCATTAAGGAAAGCAGATGAAGAACGTGTACGCGTTCGTCAGATGCCGGCTAAGATGCTATTCCGAGGCACGTGTACTGATTCAGAACCAGTTGATATCCATCAGATCAGAAAGTTCTGGAAAGAAATTGTAGGGGTGAAAAAGTCTTTTAACTCGAAGAGTCCACGGCTAGTAGCATGGGAACAATCGATGTCAAATATTCAGGGAGAGACTGATCTTAAAGGTCGATTGAACCCTGAACTTTGGCAGAAGGTTGTTCAAACGATAAAACCATGGAAAGCACATGGTCCAGATAAGTTGCAGGGGTACTGGTGGAAAGTCTTCGATTCAGCCAATGCAACACTTTATGATTTAACTCTTCATCATATCTTATCTGGCGAACCCTTACCGCAGAGGTGGATAACCGATGGACGTATAGTACTCATACATAAATCCGGATCTAGGTCTGATCCCGCGAACTTCAGACCTATAGCTTGTTTAAACATCTGCTACAAGCTAGTAACAGGTTTTATAGCCGCATATTTAGATCAGTATGTGAGGGGGCGAGATATACTGAACAACGAGCAAATAGCATTACGTCGGGGTGTGTGGGCTTGCTCACATGCTCTCACTCTTGACCAAACGTTAATAGCAGACGCACAGGATCAGAAGCAGAGACCTATTAGCGTAGCTTGGATAGACTATGCAAAGGCATTCGACAGTCTGCCACATAGTTATATCAAATGGCTGCTCAAAGTAATGCAAGTTCCTGACCTGTTACGAAAGTTTTTGAAAAGCGTCATGAATAATTGGAGAGTACGATATGAAGCGAAAAGTCCTAGGGGTAAGATAGAACATAGTAATTATCTAAGGATTCGTTCCGGAGTTCTTCAAGGAGACAGCTTCAGTCCCTTGTTGTTCTGTCTAGCGATGGCTCCCATCAGTCACGCAATAAATAGTGTTAAAGGTGGCTATACCACCGCCTCTGGGAAATTTAAAAAGGTGCAAATCTCGTTGTCTCATCTTTTCTATATGGATGATCTTAAGCTGTACGCAAACTCACCTGAAAGTCTAATGGAACAGATCAAAGTCGTAGCATCAATTTCAGAGGACATTAACATGAAATTGAATGTTAAAAAATGTGCTGTAACACACTTTATACCGAAACGAATGCGAAGTGAACAAACAGATGTAGATGATGACACATCTACTGACAGAAGTATAAGCTTCCCGATGCTAGATGGTGAAGCAGTCTACAAATATCTGGGCATGGAACAGAAGCTAGGTTTAAAGGAGTCTGAAGCATGGGATCGTGCGAACGACAGGTGTTATGATAAAGCACGTCGCTTATGGGATTCCGATCTTACTTTTCGACAAAAAGTGAATTCCTATAACACCACTATCATTCCTGTATTTAAATATATAGCCAGTTGCATAATTAAAGGTAGTGGTACATACGCAAGTGTCTTAAAACGGGGCGAAGATCTAGATAAGAAGTACCGCAAACTCCTTGTGGAGCTTAAAGCTAGACAAAAATCCAGCTGTGTAGCAAGATTGTACCTGCCAGCTGAAATGGGAGGATATGGTCTCAAATCGATTAAGGACGCCATAGAGGAGTCCACCATATACCTATGGGCGTATCTCTGTACGAAAGCAGAATTAAAAGGATCATTAAATCTGTTTTTGGGAATGGTTAACCGGGGGAAACGATGTGTAGTTAGCGATGCAGGCAGCATTATAAAGGCATATGATATAGACTATAAGTTGGAAGAAGTGCGTTCCACTGTCATTATAGATGGTGCTTCTTTTAACGACGCAAGAACATTAGCAAGACACGTGGTCGGGCTAATGCGTACTGTCAATAACAACGGACGGTACAAAACATGGAAAGAATTAGAGCTAGCAGGATGTGTTCTACGTTCAAACTCTAGCATGGATATGATAGAGTCCTTTACTTGGCTCAAGCAAGGGAAACTATCATCGGTAGCGGTAAGGAATGCTCTAGCAGCTCAAGAAGGATGCTTAATAACGCGCACACATCCTTCACAAGCAAATTCGAACGATAAGAGTTGTAGGGCGTGTGGGTGCCATCTTGAAACAATTGAGCATGTCCTTTCAAGTTGTTCCAAGCGGTTGTCGAACCTATACATCGACCGTCACGACTCAGTTGCTAGAAACATACACTATAGAATATGTCAAAAATACGGCTTTACTCCTGCACACTACTCACAGAAAGTGGAATCGGTTTTAGAGAATGAGAGGATAAAGTTGTATTGGAATCAACCCGTACAAACCAAAACGATCATTCGCCATAACAAACCAGATTTGATAATCTTCGATAAGCCAGGAAAGACAGCCTTGATAATCGAGGTTGCAATATCATGGTTTACTGGTATAGAAAGACAGGTACAAATAAAAACAAATCGTTACTGTGTCAATGGTAATTGGGAAGAAGTTACGAAACTGCCATACCCAGTAGGAGATAATTTACTACGTGAATTACAAACTGCTGGATGGAAAGTTTCGTTCTTACCGGTGGTCCTTGGCACATGTGGCGAAGTGCTTTCGAACCTAAAAGGAGATTTAATGGAAAAAATTGGCTTAACTCAGGTAGCAACTGCCGACTGTCTCGAGAGAATGCAACGTAGTGCGGTTTTGGGAACGAGCAGGATCATTAAAAATCACCTTGCTGTAAGATAGGGAAATGGTGATGTCTAATGACCCGTTGTGCTTGCACATGCGGAATTAATCAATGATTTTTGGGAAAAAACAAGAAAGGTAGTGATTCTAACATCGGGAAAAGTCATTGAAGACCCTTGTTCCAAATATCATCTTAGGAACATTGTAGCTGAGAGTGAGTAACTCCCAGTATCGGTGGGCTAAACCCCAGCGAGTGTCTAAAACGGCCGAGGCGACTCGGAAGTGTCATGTAGGAGTAGCAAGTGTCTCATGATATGTTGGTAAGATGGCTTGTGCAATATCTAGAGCTCGATGGTGATATGCGAGCGCTTCTGTATGCTTATTCAATGCCATATAAGCACCGCCTAAATTCGTATATGTTGTAATAAAATATGGTGATTGACACGTGACAATCGTGAATTTTTTTGTAGCCAATTCTTTTTCAAAATATTCTATTGCTTTTTTAAATGAACCATTCTGAAGATGTAGAGTACCAATATTACCATAAGCATCAGCAAGGATGTCATTTTTCAAAGAAACAGATTCTTGAGAATGAATTATATCGATAGATCGTTCATAATATGTGATGGCTAGGTCCTGATTTCCCAAATCTTGATATGTCAAAGCAATATTGTTGCAGAGACGAACGAAAATAAGATGAGTGTTCGGTAAAGTGCATTGAAAAATTTCGAACGCTTTTTCATAATATATTAAAGCTTCTTCATATTTTCCACAATGATAATAGTTTTCTCCAAGATTAAAATTTATATAGCCAAGAAATATGCTGACATTTTGAGAATTTCTTTTCAAATGATTTATTTCTATAAGCAAAGCTTTTTCTAAAAAGCTACGCGCAGTCATTAAATCACCCTTCGCATGACCATAGACTTTTCCTAAGGCAATAAATAGTTGTCTAAATAATAAATGACTTTCAGGCAAATATTGACGCCTTATTTCTTCAGTTTTAATATAATAAACCAGTGCCTGTGTATTATAATCTATTCTAGCAAAGAGATGACCAAGATGAAGATATGACATGCCCACTAAGACGTGATTAACTGTTTCTGCTTTCAAACGTTTTTCTAGCGCAGCACCTATTACTTCACAAGCTTTAACAATTTCACCATTTTCTGCATATAATATACCCAAATTATGAAAACAATCAGCTAAATCTGAATGATTAGATGGCAAGCTTTGCGAATAAATTGAGATAGCTTTTTCCCTATATTCAATAGCATCAGAATACTTTCCTTGATTATAATACAATTTAGCTAGATTTGAATAAATCCTACCAAATTGATCATTATTGGATCGTAGATGTCCTCTAAAGATTCTAAGAGTTGATTGAAAATAATTCAAAGCATCTTCATATTCATCTTGATAAACATGATAAACGCCTAAAATATTGTATAAGTTGGCCAAAGATAACATTTTTATACGACGAACCTTATCAGAGAAAGTTCCATCGAATTCATTAACTATCATTGATATTGTTTTTATAATCAAAGTATGAGCCATTTTATATTCACCATGGTCCATCAATAAAATGGCAGTATTAATACCTAATTCTGGAAACATGGGTAGTAATGGGCGTGGTATTAGTTTGACACACACTTGATAACATTTTAACAAATCATTGGGGTGAGTATAATTGCACGTCATATTGCAACTAGCGAAATTATATAATAGAATGGCTGCGTCCAAGCTTGTGGGTGAAAGATGCGATTGAAGTTGATTTGCATATATTTGAGCTGCCCGATGAGATTCTCCTAATTGACCTAAGCATTTGGCAAAGTCATGAATACTCAATTGTTCGGGACGTTTTGCATCTGTTAGAAAATTATGCACATCTTGAACTCCAGTAGAATCTTGATTACAAAGTGACAATTTAATAATCCAAATATTATCTTGTGATTCAATAGAATTAATACGAAAGATAGCACCTAACGCAAGTAGAATTTCTTCTTCACCAGGATTCCAACTCGACTTTTGAATGTCAGCAAATGGTAATGAACACGTGTCTGTTTGAATTTCAATTTCAAATAGAACTGATTCAAGTTGAGGTCGTCTAGCACCTTCTCCAGAAAACATGACCGAAACTTCTCGATCGCTCGACGTTGACAGAAACGTATTCATGGAAATATAATAGCCAGTATTTCGCCTGAGTTGATCTAGTTCTCGAATAGACATCAATTGACCACGATAAATTTTGAGTACGTATGGAAAAAGCTCTAAATCTATCAAACACTGAAGATAATCACAGTGTAATTCGAGCAATTGCGTGTAAATATCAGCAAGTATGTAACGTAATTTATAGATATAATCAATATTTTCAGCTCGAAGAACTTTGTTTACCATACGGAATAGAAACGAGTCTCTTGTATACCATTTAATTGCTTCGTCTGATTGATAGTTTAGTTCAAAATCAGTAATCTTATCTTGTTCAATTTGATCGTTGACATAACATAATCGACAAAATTCGATCAGTTCTTGTTTTGCTGCATTTGGTTCAGGTATACAAAGAAGAATTTCTAGCATATATTGGAACCACATGAATTTTGCTGCTTGTTTTGTCAAATCTTTGCTTGATTTGCCACTTTCTGTTGGAGAAGTGAAAATATTAAATTTAGTTGTATTCTCGGTACAATACCGAACATCATCGATAAGTTTGACAAGTAGATCTTGTTCATTAATCAAGACAGCACGATTATTTTTCAAAAAGATATCATCATTTAATGATAATGACGATGTAACTACATAGAGAAATGTAATCTGAACAAGATCATTTGCTCTATTAAGAATATTTGAATCGTCAAATAAATCGATTGAAATAAGAAGAATGATATGATCGACGTCGGTATTGATTATATAATCGAAGCATTCATTCACATCAAAAAATGGTTTTAAATAAGGTGTTATATGTTGGAGCCGAAGCTTAGCTTCGAAATATTTATCTGTATAACGGAACATTTTATTGAGCCAAATTAATTCGAAATTCTCAAGTTTTTCCATGTTTATTGATGATACATCATTTTGATCCATGTTTTTTTCCTTCTCATCCATTGCAGTAGACTGATCTTCTTAATTTGTGTCATGCACGAATGCATCATCACATTTTTATTTCTCTTTCTTTTTTTTTCTACACCGATTTAGTGTTCTACAGTCCTAATTTACGTTTTTTTATTTAAGAAAGAAAAGCGTGCACGTGTTCACAAGTTCGCAAAAGAAAATATACATTGATGTTTATTAAAATTGTGCAGGGGAAGTTTTTTTTTTTGAATCCAGAATCCATTGTAGGACATTCTTATAGAGTATGGGTGTGAGTATAAGTGTGATCCAGTCACCCAAACATTTGATCCGTGGTCTGGTGAATAGATTGGCTTCATATCATCCATTTGTTTCTAAACTAGACGTTATAGATACACACGCGTTTCGGATTTAAATTTTAAATTATTCTTGTATAAAATACTCAAACTAAGAAAAATACAAAAGGACTTTGGGTGTATTAATAAAAGATTCGTATAGATGTCGCTAATTATAGTCATCAATGAAAGGACCTAACATGGTAGCGATATATGGAATGGCTATTATGTATAGTGGTCCTTCCAGCTGAAAGAATTCTCTTTACCAATTGATCTTGACCATTATGTAACCCTTCTCTTGTTGATGGCATTGCTGTTTTCACTGCCTAGTCCATGTCACACTTTAGATTTCAATTCAAACATAGTTAAAACTGTTTCCAACCCGGAAAATTTTCTTTGTTCTATTTGAAGCCTAATAGTGTCTTTTCTTTCACGTTCCTCGTCTAACAGCTTTACAATTTCATTTAAATGGAGCCAATATAAAGAAATCGCTCAGTTTTATGAACTGACATTTGGTACTCTTTGAAATCTAAACTGCTGTTTTCTTGAATAATTTTGCTAAAGCGTAGCATAATGAAGACCCGAATAAGTCTTACTGTTCTAATTAAATTGAATAATAATTTATGTTGTATTAACTTAAGCTGTAAAAAACTTTCTTGATGTGAAAAATAATAATCGTACTGTTGAGCGACTTCAACTATTCTTAAATGATTTATATGACTGATTTTCTGGAACAAACGTTCAACTATCCACAACCTCGTTACTGATGACTATTTTACACAAATAATAAGATGCACCCAATATGTCTATTTTTACTAATCACAGAATTGAAAAATGATTATATTTCAATCCGGTTTTCTCTCCGGAAATCGTGTGTATTTCTTAGTGCATAAGCGTGTTGCATCTCTGCTTTTTTTAGAATTGACGGCTGAATCATCAAACACTAGCTCACAGACTAATTTAAAAAAACGCGTACAAATGTTTTTGACATTTTGACTAAAGACAAATCGTAAAAGCGCATCGTTTTTGAATTTTTTTCGTTAAAGTTTCTTAGAGTGTTTTAACATGTTACACTTTTAGGGTGTAGGTGTGGGTGTGAGTGTGGGTGTGGGTGTAGAGTAAAGAAGAGCTGCACGAATATTCATTCACACCCACACCCACACCCACGCCTCACACCCACACCCACACACCCGCACACCCACACCCGGCCGGACACATTGACCGATTCTAGAGCGTACTCACTTTTTCAGTACATAAAAATGATTATTTTCGTATTGAAACTTTGATTCCTTTAGCTTTTATTTGAATAATTACC